GAGGAAGAGGAGGATGCCAAAACCACGAACTCAACTTTTCTCGGCTTTGCCGATAGCGGTAAAGGTAGGTGAGTCTGGGGTAAACTGAGCATTCGTCCCGACGCCTGACCACTTTAGCAACAAGCTCACACCGGCCGCCGCGATACGCAAGATAGTCAAATAGACACTGCGTCCGGTTATTCCGTCTAAGTACATGGGTAAGATATGAGCATCTTACCCATGCCTGGAGCAGTTCTTAACAGATGACCTCCGGTTATGAAACCTGTTCCCCTTATAGAAAAATCCCGAGGCATACTAAGTATCTTCATAATTGTCCATCTCAATTAAACCCATGTAGTTGCTCAATCCACTCCCTTTTCGAGAAGTTAGAAAGAATATATATTATGCTAGGAAACGTCATCATAATGCAATTGATGTGCCACGTAGCCATGGGTTTGTCATTCTTTTTTAGGCTTGGGTCGCTGCCAACATGCTACTGCTTAAACAGTCAATGACTATTGACAACGTGAGTCTACCCTGCGCTCTACGAGCCAACTGTTTGATGTGAATTCTAAACGAAACGAGTGCCAAAGTAGAGACTTCAGACGCCTCGAAGTGGCTTTCGCGGACCTAGCTTGACCGCGGAATGGAAAGGGCAACACGTTTCCCTGCGTAGTAAATTGGCTTTTGGGATGGCTACGATCGTGACAAAAACACCTACTGACATCGGGTCGGCCTTGATTAGACCTTCGGCAGCCGTGACAACTAGCAGCACTAAAATATCTACTTTGACGAGCAAAGTAGCCAGCTAATGTTCCTTAACATTGATTATGTGGGACAGATCCGAGGCGTTGCTGTCGAAACGACAGACCCCTGTATACGCCCTTAATGTAAATTGTATTTTGTCCGGTTCCAATAACTTGTAAAAATTAAAGTTCGAAAATGAAATCTCCTAACAGATTGCTCTTCTCAACTCGAAGTTAAGTTGATTCCTCAGACTTTGAGAACAGCCTAGCAGGCGTGCAATCTCACCCCAAAACACGGAGCTTAAAATCCGTACTTTTGCCGAGTAAACCAATGCACTGCCATCCGACCATACCAATTTCCCTCCCATACTATCTATAAACTTTGCTTAGCCCGTAAAGCGTATCTGAGCGTTCCCTTATGGTAGACATCGAGATCTGGGAGACGGTATACCTGGACAGCTCTGAGAATCTACCACTGCGTACGACATCCCGCTTTTATTCATATCCGAGCACCGCCTCTGGTGCCGCTCCCCCGGGGAGGAATGGTCGAGAATAGATAATGTCAGGGCTGCAGCCTCTTACCGGGGACCTCTTCGAGTTAGCAACCACCACAAACCTACCAGGTCATCCATTCAAACTACGTGTGACCGGGGCCAGGCTGGACACACGAAAGTGCTTCTCTAACAGAGTGCTTGAAGCTTGGAATGCTCTGCCTCCGGATGTCGTTATGTCTGCTCCCGTCGAGGTCTTTGAGAGGAAACTGGATTTGTATAGCAGTGTCCACTAAATTACCGCCCGACCTCTGTAACCTTGACGAATCCCGTTGTTGTATTGTTACTTGCTATTTTTCAGTAGCATTTTAAACTGAATTTCTAATCGTCTCCGACTCATCGCCTACGCTTACTGACATGCACCTACGCCACTTTTGTCACTGGGCATATTATTTATTTCCCTGCACTCGAAACGACCGCTGTACTACTGTTTGTACCACTAACACTCAAGACAGTTTGTCCATCTGTACAGAGTTGACGCTTTTCCGATTATTTGTTACCGTTATGACACCTATTCCAGTTTTTGAGATTTTTCAGTTGCTTGTAAACAAATAGGGAGTTCACAGGTGAAGACCTATAATTCCCTTAATAAAACTGAACTGAACTAATACGACCGGACGGATGGTGAAACTGAAAAAACGACAGACTGATGCCAACTAGGAGTGAAAACACGTGCAAACCGTCAGCACAAAATATAAACCGACGGGTACCCAGAAAAACGAAGTCTGCCTGCTAGTCTAGTTACGAACATGTCTTCGGCGGTGGATGCTGAATGAGCTTAGCCAAGCCCAGCTGCGTCGAGTAAGCGGTCGCGGACCACACGATGACAACGTTCCTAGGCACGATCGGACACCTGTTTAACGCGCTAATCCTGCACGGGTGGGAAAACGAAGTGGAAGAAATGAAATTTCTTTGAGGTTGGTTTACGGCAAACGGTTACCTGCACGACTTTGTCGAGGCAAACACAGCAATGGGCAACCAAAGTTTCGGGTCGAGTATTGTTACGAATAGACATATGTAGTCATCGATGTAAGACCCACGTCGTCCAACGGGTGCGATGCAGCTCTTACCAAGTAAAATAAGTAGGAGGAACCCGCATTTGAATACGAACGCGTGAGGCAAGAGACCAGGGGCGTGGAAATGATTAATACTGTCATTGGTTCTGAAACGATGTGTCACAAGTGGGCAATTCTGCATGTTTGAAAAGCTCACGTTGTGTATGGTGACGGTTGTCCAACAAAGCCTTACCCGCTGCAGTGCAGCACGACCCTGGAACTGGTGTCGGGGAACAAGTGGAGACGTCTTGTACTTGTACTTGGAGACGTCTACCTTCGATTCTAAGAACTAGGCAGACCTATGCCTCAAGTAACCGTTGTGTGTCGAGCTATGACTCAACAAAGGCCTCTTGATAGGGGCACACTGACCGAACTTTTCGAGCCAGTGACCCAGACGACGTAAAGTCCCTCTCAAAACGAGGTCTGTAAACGACCTTAACCTTGCATGTAAACAACGAGGATCATGTCCAAGTTCCTGGTTGTATGCTTCGACGTAAAAAAGCCTGAAGCATGCTACCCGTCCCACGTGGAACTCGTCCAATCTAACAACGAGGCAGTCAACTGTTAGTGGCTAGTCAAGGTGACAGAGCCGGATGTTTCCGGCTATCGGTTCGAAAAAAACTTCACAAAACTGACCGAGTTAGCAAAGCTCAACACTATTAACCGTCGACAGGAAAGTGAGCGGTCTCACCGACAAAAAGTTGAGGTGGCAAAACTAAGCCGTATTCAGAAATGGCATCCCGACTGTCATCGACGTAGCCACAAAACGCAAAGTTTAACACCCAGATCTTTTAGGAACCAGCACTTTCTCCAAAAAATATAATCTAGCTACCACCCAGAACCAGCTTTATAGTCAGTGAATGACTCACAGCGCCTACTCTGACGCCTAAGGTACATTAAACTGGACTGTATCCATGGTAGAATTGCAAATTCCATAGCAAAGACTTGTAGAAATCAAATGTACACATAAAAAAAACCTTCATTGTGATTGACAAGAGCAGAGAGTAAGAAAAATCCGGGATTTACCGGAACAAATAATGAATGATAATCAAAGTCCGTAAAGCCTCTACTGATTTTCCTGTTCTTCTGTATTGCTGGGATTCGTCTCCTGTTTAAAAAGAATACGAAACGTGTAATCTTGGAAATTGATAACTGTCAACAGTTAAGAAAATAAGGAATACTATTCTAGCTTTACATGGTAACACGCTCCGATGAAACCCAACAACTTCCTCTACTCATCCTAAGTTCCTGATATGTTAACTTATTCTGAATCGGTGTATCCAATCAAAAATGGTTTGATAAAAGTCAAATCGGTCAGCGTCACTTTTTGAGGTGGAACCAGTGCCGATTGCAGCCGATAAAGCAGAATAACTATGACGCTAAAGTTGATGGAGTAAACTGGCTTGCCAGGGAGCGCCTCAGATTGGAATTACGACTCTCGTTTATGTTGTACTTGTACTTGATACGGCTGCGATCAAGCCTGATCTAGCCGGCCTCGATGATGTCCCGAATTGTACCTCTCCACGCATGACGATCCGCGGCAGCAGATCTAGACAACTCAATCCATTCCCTTCGCCAACGACGGAGACCGATGTTTATGTTAATCTGGTCTGTTTCGGTTTGATATGTTTCGCCAAGACATTGGGGTCGTTCTCAGTCCTACGGTAGTTGGCCCTCGAAAATGAGTCAGGCTTTTCAGATCTGACGTCACTGACCATAGCTCACAGAAACCCAATCGGTGACATCACTGGGCCACTCATATAAAGCATGGTTAAAGCGTAACAAGTACCAGGAACGCCGAGCAACGGGTTTCGGCCGGCTCTTCAGATAGTGTGAACCGCCGTTTCAGTCCGTAAAATACGGGAATTTAGAAACAACTCTAAAATCTAAGAAGCAAAGCAATCTAAGATTCGTCTTAAAAGAGACAGCTTCCGATTTCATCTTCAAATGCTCCTGGATTGACTAAACCCAAATGAATTCCCTATTTTAGAGAAGTCATGGTCGAATCGTGTGCGTAAAGATGAACGGAGTCAAACTCGAAAGAACGGTTCACTAAGTGTATGATAGTTAATTGGCAGTTACGGTGTCCGAGGGTTTCCAAGTGGCAAACAAAAATTTTATTAATGCCGCCCCGCCCTCTAACGGAGGCCGCATGGACTAACTTCTCATGAATAGGGATATCGGTGGTAAACGATAACTGCGATGACTTTTGCGACGTCTGGGAGAATGATGCCATGACACTCACCAATTCCCTGCGGTTCTCTCTGAAGGTCGGCATAGCAATAGTGTCACTCTGATCTGCACAACAGTCTCTGAATCTAAAATTTCGGCCACAAGTAGTAAGTGTACGGCCACCACCCATGCAGATTTCTGCAGACAAGCAGTTCTCTAAAGTGGTTTGTTGTTTGTTAGTTTCAATATCGTATCAAGTATCACCGCAAATGGTGCTACTAGCTGGCCTACATGACGCCGCGGATTGTAACTCTCCACGGGTGACAATCTACGGCAACGGATAGGGAGAGCTCGGCCCTTTCTTTTCTCCAGCAACGGAGACCGAATACCGATGGTTCACGAGCCCCGTGCATATCTTAGCCGACTTTTTCGATTCAGGTTTTGATCTGACTTCCTCTTAAACGCCTCGACGCAGCAACCCCGAAATCGAGGCGGAAGACGATGAAGGTCTTTCATGGATGGTGGACGCCAATGGATGCCTTCGAACTTGACAGCAGTTGAAGTCAAGTTTAATGAGCATAGGGGTTGCGTAGAATGCCTCTTTGGCGGGAGTATCCGGCCTATCAGTAAGCTATCATCGCAACCTGGCCATTATATAGTCGAAGATGGAGTAAAGAACTAGCCTTTGTTTGGAAAATTGCACCTCGTCGTAACATTGTTAGTTGAGATGCATTTCGAGTCTCGCACATTTTCATCGCGGTCGTGTCGTATAAAACGCGTTACCTCTTAAAACTCGTTCCATCAGAGATCCGATCCTTGTGTCGACATCTGCTACGACGTAGCACCTTCTGCCCTGAGAATATCGAACTCAAACCCTGCTAGTTCCTACTGACGCCGTTTGCGACCTGAGTGCGTAAGCCGTCTCTGTCTTCTCTCATACAGCAGGGTCCTCAGCAGTGCGACGGAATGTGTACACATGCACGCGCTCCAACGATTTTGGGCCGCATGTTGGGTGCGATGAATTTATTGGCAATCTGCACAGGAATCCTACGGTTGAATAAGAAGACTTTTAGATCGGAAAAGGTTCCAGGGTGCTTGGGGATTCCAATTCCCTGAAAACAGGTCGTGTGCCAGACACAGATAGCGCCGTCTCAGCTAATCCGAAAAGTAGCAAAAGGGTCAAACCAATAAACAGAGCCACCACCGCATTACCACTCAGCTGCCAGTGGGATGTTATCAGAATACGATGAAAATGTCCAAACGACTCGAGCCACTGTATTACTGCCGCCGCTATCAGGCTGAAAAGTGGGTGCATCGGCGTGCACTTGCTTCGCTGACAAACCTATCCATTAATCATGGGGTAGGCGTTTAACTGGATTCGGTGCGATTATCAGCTTCCGGTGAAACAACGTTTGGCTTCTAAAAGAGGAATGCTGTATACGGACCGACGACCGTCGAGTCAGACACTAAGTGACCAGTGGTCAGCGGCTTGGTCGGACCTTAAAGAGTACGGTAGAGAGTAAAGCAGTTGACATGATGGGCATTTGCTGGGCTTGAAGTCAATCTTGAGACACCAGATGTTGCGACATTAAGCTTATCACAGCGCGTTTACTACTGTTGTTGTAAGCCAAATTGCTGGGGTGGGCCGTAGTTACAGAGGCTACTTGAAATGTGGCATGCCGGCGAGCAATGCCGACACCGACTTCGAGCGAACGGCATCCGAGTTTGCGTGGCGATGCGGAAGTCTCGACAGCATATAACCAGAAGTTGACTTCATTCGGCTTCCCTAGGGAAGGAGAGCTAGGCTTATCATCTCTCATTCAACAAGCCAACTGGCCTCTTTGTTAGGAGTTGGTTTAAAGAGTGAGGGAATTCAAAGATGGTCAGTATTTGAAGTTTCCGTGGGCAAACCAGTCAAGGTTCTGCTGTGGACGTTTGCATGACCGTCTGTGAAAATGACACAGCAAACATGTGCACAAACTGCTGTCAAGCAGTCTGTCAAATCGAAAATTTTTAAATGGTAGATCGACTTAGCTCGATCAAGTCCCGCTTGTGCGACGACTCGCAGCGGAATTGATCTTCGCAAGGAAATAAAGAAATACCTGAATAGCTTTTGCAAAATTTTCGGCGTGTTCTGCAATTTTACTCAGCTTCTCAATCTCTTCGTTCAGTTTTACAACCAAATCGCAGAGCTACAGAAAATAAATGTAAGAATGGTACGCGCGTGCCTCTTTGTTTTCTTCAAGAGTCTCGGTAAGAGCTTGTCGCCTCTGCTCAGCTAGCTCCATCCAGTATTCGATGGGAGGTCGTTCTAAAAACTTATCTTCGGCGAAATTCGGAAGCTTACCTGAGCAGAGCCATTCGCACAGAGGTGAACCTGATCTATCCGTCTGACTGGAAGTTGTTTTCGTGGCAACAGAACTATCTTGTTTGGATTTCCTGTGACCACAGTGGGGACAAGCAAGGGAAGGGGGGTCTTTAAAAATAGTCAGTTTATTGGTGTGTTTTTTAAGCTTTGTTTTTATATTTTCATTTTCCTTGTCTACGACGACTCTCTGGATATCCGTGGGCACGGCTTTTTCTGGAATACTTGACTATGAAATAATAGTACGGAGATTAATTGCATACCTTGGAGTTAAATGGCTTGTCAGTTGGTTTACACTGTGAATCGAGGCGAACCGACAAACCCCTGCGTGAAATTGCCTCAGTTGCCATCGTTCACTTCGCAGGCCAAGCCGAAACCCGAAAACAAATTGCGAAAGTCCCGCCCCTGTCAGAGTGTTATTACACAAATGCATTCAAAGTCTGGGATGGCCTACGATTTGTGGGGTCCGCAAGTGCAGTAATTCTAAAGATTCATTCAACGGGGGCAGTTAGTTAAGATCAACTGTGAACACGGAATGGTTCATAAGGAGCCTGAATGATGTTGCTGTCTTCCTTGTTTTGTCAGTCGACTTTATTCCTTTTGTGTGCGCTAAGCAAGTGTTTACTGACTTCTTTATTTTAGTGCGTGCCCGGTGAGATTTCTCTTTTAATTCCCGAATTCTCGGTTTTTCTCATTTCCTGTTTGATCCCAAAATCTCTTGATGTCTCGCTCCGAATCCCTCTGCTATTGTTTTCGTTCGCCCACCGAGGTGTCTGAACACAAGCAAAGCTGTCTTTTCAACTTAAAATGTGATGTTGATCAACACCAGTGTGGTCCGAACATGCCGACAAAAATAATAGGGAGGGTTTCCTTAAGGACAGTGAAACGGTTGTTGAACGAGGCAGCAATCGGAGCCAAACGTAACCAAATGCAGATCAAGAAAGCAGAAAAACAAACTAGACTACGTCGAGTAGAAGAAAAAAACTTGCAAAAGACGGCTTCAGAGGACTAAACTGCGCACTAAAGCTTAAACACAACAGGCAAAGTTCAAATCTCCTACCATGTCCTTAATGGGAATGTGGAGGCAATCAGTCTCGCGCTTGGATAGCAGTGTGGACGTATGCTGGCAGACATTTGGTCTAACCTTTCTGGGACTGGATTTTCGGCATATAAACCATCAGACCGCTGCTCACGTCCTTTTTATGGTTCGCATATTCACGCATAGGGCCGTGCAGACTTGAGTGCAGGATAGCAAGTCGACAGGTTTGAGTTCGCTGTCCCCATTTCTCTAGTGGTTTGCGACACCCTGCATAGTGACCGACCGTGAGACATTTCACGTTGTTAAGTAGCGACCGCCTACATGTCAAATACCGATTTCTCGTCTGACCTACAGACGTTTTTGACTTTTATTTTACTCGTAGTAACTCATTCAAAACTGGTTTCGTTTCGTGATTTATTGTTTGTGGCATGTCTACGTGGCGGGGGCAATTAATTTGCCGGAAGTTCTTTTGGCCTAACCGCATTGTTGTCAACTTTCATTCAGCTCACAGCTGCGCTTCCCGAAGCTGTTCTCTTGTCATCGGTTTCAACTCGTTTTTCTGTTTAATTTGTGGACTAAGCAAACTGAGGATAGAGCCTGCGCCTTCCAAATCAGAATGTATCAATGGTCCAATGTGGACACTCTGAAGTTAAAAACGGCCCCGTTGTACACGTTAACAAGCGTTTCATGTCGAGTCAGCCAGTATGCGCAGCCTTACCTCCATAGGGCTCAAGACAAACCTAATATTTCCTCTAAATTATGGAGAGGAGAACGTGGACTGGGCATTAAAAAACATTTTCAACCCCATCAAGTCATATGTTCCCGGTAGTGTACTGTCAAATACTCCATGTTCCATCTTAAACCCCTAAGAGCAGAGACTAAAGTATCTTTCACCTGGCAAGTTGACTCGGTCCGCCTCCAGAATGACTGCCTGGTTCCTGTTAGTTGTGGGTCCCATAATAATTGTATCTCATGTGCTTTTCTAAAGAGTCACAAAGCAGATGCACCTTGAATTTTTCTGTACTGTTGATTAGATGTGCTCAATTATGCACGACCGGTTTCGGCTCGCATTAACTCGTGTTTTGTGTCCGCCTACTGCACGGTGTCACTGCGTCATTGATTGCGCTCATGTACCTCAATCCTTTTTATTCAAGTGTCACGAACAGCTTTTATTTTGCGGTTGCATCTCGCCGCACGTGAATTAACCCGTCCATAAGCTCAACTAACCGTTCTCAACTCCGAACTTTCTGGACTTTGCCCAGGGCATTCTTCACTCTATAAAATCTGACACCCTGTAGGGCTTCATTTTTTGTGAATCTATACAACTATTGGCCTTTGCCGTTTTTCGCATATTATTTTTGCTGTCGTTTTGTTTTGTAAGAAACGTAACGTGTCCCACTTAGAGTTTCATTTTCCTTGTATCTATTTTTAGTTGCAGTTCTGACTGTCGTTTGCACTACGAGAACCGACAGCTCGACCGTCGATTTCGACGATGTCCACCGTGTGCCCCCACAGCTGCAGCAGCGGTGGGAGCAGGGACGGTGTCTTGCGCAGGGGTTTATAGTACGGGTAGACTTGCGCTGCATCTACCTACACTCTCTCCTCCTCCCCCGCCTGGGCCCGGTGTCATGACAGAGTCAAGAAGACCGGAGACGAGGGAGGCCGCAGGTGGATGGCTCGGACGGATCCTCACCTTGGCGTTCCACCACACCCCCTGGTCCACACAACAAATGACCAGGATTTCAACCAACACAACAGAGATTTGGAGGCTGGCACGGCCGAAGCCGCACCTGGGCGTGCCGCCGACGCCTGAATCGGATCCCACATTGTGATGGGAGTGCCATAAAGGCCACATTAAAAAGGAGCCATTGCAGCCTGACTCTCAGACCGCCTCCAGTAATGGAGGAGGTCCAAGGTACCCCGTCAGTTGGCAACCTTCCAAGCCACGGCTTTTAGCGCACCGTGATAGCTTCAAGCGCGTCAGATTTTTTATAGTGAGGAGAAAGTGCGCTGAGTCGTCGACCTCACTCTCTCTTCCCATTCCCACACCCCAGCCACTGTCCGAGCCGGTCAGTAGACTGGAGTGGGGAATGGGCGCGGTGGCTGACATGGTCGACTGACCATGCCTGCGCGCGCCACAGCACGACCTGGCCCCCCATACACACAAACACCAGGATTTCACACAACGGGGGTTGAACGGCGTGTCTCTCACTTGCGTGAGAGTGCCGTGGAAGGTGCTGTTGCAGCCCGTCCCCAGCCCACCAGTCCGCCACTCCACACAACACACACACACACACAACGTGACGGACTGCGTGAACCGAGAGCGGGCCTCAATCAGCAACCTTCCTATCCACGACACTTGACGTGTCGGGATAGTCTTGGACACAAGTCACCCGTGCAGCCGAAACCGCATGGGGACCGAGTCGAGATGCACACTTCCCACTTGCGTGGGAGGCGGCAGTTGAGTGCATGAGGTGTGTGGGGGTTGATGTCTGGTGGGGTGATGGTGTTAGGAGGTAGGGAGTGAGGGAATGTGTGGTGTGACCGGCGGTTGTCTACCGCAGGTCGTCGTGGATTCGCATGTGGCCGAATAGATCCATGCGATGCCTGAAGGTGCGAGGGCAGTGTGGGCAGTGGAGGCGAGTGCGGTGGGTGTAGGTTGGTGCTCCAGGCACTGGTTCGCCAGTCTCTGTGCGATGGATTCGCAAGTGACTGACCAGGCCGATGTGTGAGGTGAAGGTGCGGTCACAGTGACGGAAGGTGTAGTCCTGATCCTCATCAGTGGTATCGGGAGAGGTGGGAGAGGTGATGTCTGTCGTTGTGTTGGGGTTGGTGATGTGTGAGACAGCAGTCTGAACAGCCGTCGCTGGGGCAGTGGAGAGGGAGGAGGACGACGAGGATGGAAGTGGTGGTGCAGGAGGAGTGTCAGAGTTAGTTGGCGGCAGAGAGGATGAGGAAGAGGCGGGCGGGGGGACGATGGCTAGAGCAGTTCGAGAGGTGCAGTTGATCTGAAGATGTCCAACAAGTCCGATTCGTGCCCGGAATGTCCGGTGGCATCGAGGACACGTAGAGAGAGGTTGTACGGCGGCGTTGCGGACTGGGCGAAGTTGTGATTTGCGGGCTTCGCGTTTCACTTTGGCGGATGCGATGCGGTTGGCTTCGTAGATAGCAGCGCCCGTCTTCACTGTTCTCCTCCATGTCGGGCGATCGCGAGCGAGCTCTTCCCAGTTGGTCGGGTTGATTTGCAGGCGCTTCAGGGAGGACTTCAGGGTATCCTTGTAACGGCGAATCTGGCCTCCTTGACGGCGAGAACCCGTCGCGACGTCTCCGTAGAAGAGTCGTTTGGGTAGACGCTCGTCATCCATGCGCACCAGGTGGCCGCTCCAGCGCAGCTGCATTTGTCTCAGTATGGCGTAGATGCTGAAGATTCCCGTTCGTTCCAGTACTTCCGTGTCGGGGATTCGATCCTGCCAGTTCAGCCTCAGAATGCGGCGGAGACAGCTGAGGTGGAAGTGGTTTAGTCGACGTGCCTGCCTCGTGTACACCGTCCAGGTCTCCGCTCCATACAGTAGCGTCGGCAGGATGACGGCCTTGTACATCTTCAGCTTTGTGCTCAGTTGGAGACCATGACGGTTCCAAACTGTGCTGTGGAGGCGACCGAAGGCTTGACTGGCTTTCGAGATCCTGTTGGCGACTTCGTCGTCGATCTTGGTGTTGCGGGAGAGCGTGCTGCCCAGGTACGGGAAGTTCTCTACCACTTGCAGTTGAGTCCCATTCACGCTGATTTGCGGCGGCGCGTTGGGGGCTGTGGCTGAGTTGGGAGGCGGCTGATGCATCACCACCGTCTTTTGCGTGTTGATAACCAGCCCAAAGTTCTCGCAGGCGGCGGAGAATAGGTCCATGCTCCGTTACATCTCCGCTTCCGAGGTGGTGTTCAGGGCGCAGTCGTCGGCGAAGAGGAGTTCGTGCACGGTGGCTGTGGATACACGCGATTGGAAGTTCATGCGCCGTTGATTCAGGAGACGACCGTCCGTTCTGTAGGCGATGCGGATTCCAGGGCGTTCGTTGCGGTAGGCGTCCATCAGCATGGCAGATAACATAAGACTGCAGAGGGTAGGCGCCAGCACACAGCCCTGCTTCACTCCGTTGGTCACTGCGAATGCCTCTGAGACAGCTCCGTTGTCCGTGACTCGCGCCATCATACCGTCGTGCAGCTGACGCACCATCTGAGTGAATCGCTCCGGACAGCCGAATTTCTGCATGATCTTCCACAATCCTTCACGATTCACCGTGTCGAAGGCTTTCGTCAGGTCCACGAAGGTAGAGTACAGGTGGGTCCGCATCTCCTGGCACTTCTCCTGAAGTTGGCGGGCTGCGAAGATCATATCCATGGTCCCACGATGACGACGGAAGCCGCATTGGCTTTCCGGCAGAAGGCCCTGTTCCAGATGGTTATTGAGGCGGTTGAGCAGGATGCGAGCGAAGATCTTCCCGGCGATGTTCAGTAGGGAGATGCCGCGGTGATTGTCGCAGACTTGGTGGTTTTCTTTTCGCTTGTAAAGGTGCACGATATTTGCGTCCTTGAAATCTTGCGGGACTTCACCTTGACGCCACATCTCCTGGAAGAGCGCAGTCAGGTGATCCATCAGTTGGGGATCTCCGTGCTTGTAGTCCTCAGCAGGGATTGCGTCCAATCCGGGTGCTTTCCCGCTGGACAGCTGCTGCACGGCCCTGATGGTTTCCTGGAGAGATGGCGGGAGGTCGAGGACCGCGTTGGTCTCCACTTGCGGCAAGCGGGCGATGGCGGCGTCGGAGATGACGGAAGGGCGGTTGAGGACGCCTCGGAAGTGCTCGGCCCATCGCTGTAGGATTTGCGTCTTCTCAGTCAGGAGAGTGCTGCCGTCGGCGCTGAGGAGAGGAGCAGTGCCCTTCGTCGGCGGACCGTAGACAGTTTTGATCGCGGAGAAGAAGTTCTTCCATTCGTTGCGGTCCGCGTACCCTTGGATCTCCTCAGCTTTGCGAGCAGTCCAGGCGTCCTGCATCTCGCGCAGTCGTTGCTGAAGCTGTCGGCGACTGCGGTAAAAGGCTGCTTTGTTGTCCTCAGTGGGGTGATCTACGTAGGCTTTGTGTAGGCGGTTCTTCTCGGAAAGCAGATTGCTGATGGCAGCGTCGTTGTCGTCGAACCAGTCCTGGTGTTGGCGGGGAGCGCGACCGAGGACGGCGAGCGCCGTCGACTGGACCGTGTCTCGCAGTTGACACCAGCGGTTCTCCACGGAGGCGTTCTCGGCAGCGGCGGCGGCAGCGATAGGAAGGTTGTCTAGCCGTTGAGCTAGCTCATTGCTGAAATGGAGACGGTGAGCAGGCAAAGACAACAAAGCAACATTCAGCTTACCTGGGGGTCGCTTACCTTGTGGTCTCCTGCGAGGCTGTAGGCGAATACGCACCTTCGAGATGACGAGGCGATGGTCGGTCCACCCGTCAGCACCCGCGATCGCCTTCGTCACCAGCACATCCCGCTGATCTCGCCTCCGAACGAGGACCTAGTCCAGTAGGTGCCACTGACGCGACCGAGGATGCCTCCAGGTGGCCTTCTCTCGCTCCGGCAGACAGAAGAACGTGTTCGTCAGGATGAGGCGGTGTTCTGCGCAGGTGCGGAGGAGAAGCAGGCTGTTGTCGTTGGAGCCGCGGAGACCGTGAGGACCCAACACTCCCCTCCAGGCAGTATGGTCTGTGCCGACGCGGGCGTTGAAGTCACCAAGGACAATCAACTTGTCCGCCTTCGACACAGTCGCCAAGAGGGCGTTCAGGTCCTCGTAGAATTTGTCTGTGACGGCGTCGGAACAGGTCATCGGCGGAGCGTAGGCGCTGATAATGGTGGCGAACTTGCCTCCTCGCCGGAGAGGCAGGCGGAGGCTCATCAGACGGTCGTTGATTCCTTGCGGCAAACAGGGCAGTCGTCCCACGATGTCGGTCCGGATGGCGAAGGCGACGCCCGCGTCTCGTCGCTCTGCCCTGGGTCGACCACTCCAGAAGAAGGTGTAACCGGCACCCACCTCCTCCAGTTGGCCTTGTTCGGAGAATCGGGTCTCGCTGAGTGCGGCGATGTCCACCTTGTAGCGCGCCAGTTCTCGTGCCACTAGCGCCGTCCTCCGTTCCGGTCGGTTGCTCCTCGGATTGTCTAAAAGGGAACGAACATTCCAGGCTGCCAGAGTGAGCGGGCTCACCCTGTCAGTCTGGAGAAAACGAGTGGGGCGACGGGAAGGAGGTGGAGAAGAAGATGACGAAGGAGAAGAATAGGCAGAAGAATAGACGGAGATAGAGGTAGAAGAGGTAGGATGAGGAGAAGGAGTATGGTTGTTGTTGTTATTATTGGTATTGTTGTTGTTTCGGTTTTGAGTGTTTCGACCATGTTTAGACGTCTGCGGCCCTGGCTAGCCTGGAGACGGCGTGGTGCCCAGCAATGTTTAGGCCACCTTTTCTAGGCCCTCCCCCGTAATGGGGACAGGCAGTGCCCCCCGAATCGGGCTGCCTGTGTGCCTGTTTGGCGCGACCGAATCCCACTATGGGACCACGACTTTATGTTTGTAGTGGAGAACGACCGCATATGCCGAGGTCTGCGGTCTCCGTCGGCGTAGGTGGGCGCGTTTCAGCGAAGGCGATGCGGGGACCCATCCCGGCAGCAGCTGTCCAACGGCGTACCAGGCAGAGCCTCGTCTCGACGACGCCGGCGCAACGTTTCATCCGACCAAACGTCCAGCGGAGCCCGCAGTACACTGTGCACGCGGCACAAGCGCACAGAGCCCTCACCTGGTTTAGCCCGCCGGTCGAGGCGGTTGCCCGGGGTGTGGCCGCTGAGCAGAGCCCAGCTACGTGGAGCCACAGGTGAGAGTTGGGTGCCAGCAAGTGGACGCTAGGCGTAGTCTCACCTGCAGGCAAGTGAGCGACCACTACGACCTTCACGTGAACCCACCGCTGGACACCCCTACACCCCACTACGAGAACCACTCACTCTATCACCTACTTATAGCCCTGCCAAGTCCTAATGCAACACTTAGCGCATCTAAATAATCGATAGTAGTACGGCATCAGCAACTCTTATGCTTCCCCTCAGAAGACCAAATGCATTAATTTTAGTCTTGATGAATGCATTCTATCATTTGATGTGGTTGTCTTATTTTCCTTTAAACCACATAACCTGGCAATTTATGGTGTAGTTGGACGCCTAGAGGAAACCCCAATTGGCATTTCAATGCAACATGATTTAGACATGCTTGGTAATTGCGAAGAAGCTATAGGAAACACCCTCCTATTCCTCGGTTTCAGTATGCAAGAACTGAGTGATAGTAAGCTGGTGACCCTCGTCCAGCGAAAAGACTCCGGTGCCGAAATCATCCTTGACTAAGAGAACAACCATACTGCAGCCCACAAAAGAAGGTGAATCCGAATTCTTTTTCATCACGTTCCTTGCTACTGCGGTAGCAAGTATCTACCTGAAAGAAAGAACTGGACCTTTTATTAGTCATTCCGGTCTAACGGATATCCGATTAGCTCTGTGAAAACCGTCTCGGACGTCAAAGGCAACCACAAGATCAGTGTTCTAATAGGGAAGTGACACGGAGAAAACGTTAGACCTTGCCCAACATGCTAGAGTTTTCTGAAACGCCCGCTTGACAAATAACAGGTTTGGCATCTGCACCTCCCATAAGACGGCGCCCTCCTTACGTACGACTTTATTCCGAGTAAAGGACCCCGTATCTAAAGAACAGCAAACTAATTGCATGTAAATAATCAAGCCGTGACAGGTACCGACGACTTGGGACTTACGTGAACTAATACAAGCTACATATCTGCCGACGTGACACCTTATCACTTTTGTTTGCGTACGCTCTTGATTGTGACCAGCGTTTAAATTGGGACGGTAATGACGTGATCGCCAAGGTTAACACCAAACAGGCACGGAAATTCCTTGAAACTTGGTACTCCAATGCAAACAGCGCCAGCCGCCTAGTTAACCTAGATGTCTCCTCTGAGGGTCTCCGATCACGACCGACTGTCTGAAGGTCACCTTAAAAGCAACAGCCTATGATTAATGCACACACATGTAGGATCTCGTTGGCGCGCCATCCATCCGTCACGGTGGGTCACAACTGAGAGTCACAACACTTCCCCTCACCTCCGGCACTCATTAAAACGTGATGCACACCCATCCCTTCGCAAGATCGTCCGCATATCTTTCTGTCGGCGTCGCGAAACAGCAATGTGACGATCCTACCTTTTACTATCCGCTTCGTTTGATGACAGGTTGGTGTAAGCAGCCGGAAAACGCGCGAGTAAAACCATTTTTTCAGACTAGGCTTCTTCTTCTTCTTCTTCAATTATAGCACCTCGAAATTAATAATACTTCACTTATTCAATTGTTATTATATTTAATACCATCTTGCAGGCACTGTCAAGATGATGCAGTACGGATTCAACTAACAGTGGAAAACTCCCCAAGAATTAGATATAGGCTGTAGTGATTTCGGATTTTTGAGTAATTCGGGAGGAAAAAAACTGCTGTCCTTGAAATATTGTCACCCCAGTAGCGGAATGGCTAAAACTGTGACGGATGTTTTCGGCCTGTATTCCCTTTTGTTGAAATGGGGACCCGTGCATCAAACAGCGTGCAGGAGGTAAGTAGTTCCTCGCTGTCGACTGAAGAAATTATCTGTGGTATTGTAGACTGCGGAGCCAGCATGATTTCTCAGATGAGGCAGAGTAGGGGGACTAAAGACCACGAACTAGATCACTACGAAAGTCTACTTCGGTGGGTCAAACACCCTAAAATTGTGACACA